ATTTCTACGCATTACAAAGATCTCCCTAATTATTCAATTGTAATTTTATACCACTGCTAAAAGTCGGGTTAAAACTCATTTCAATATATAATTCAATTATATATGTAATCTCAATGTACACACCAAAACTGCTATTCGATATTCGAAGAACTCTTAGAAAGTCCATCTGTCAACATGTACAAGGAAACAAATTTATCACTGACCTCACAACACTGTGTATCGTCACACAACGTCTTAACCTTTGCCGCCCCCTCCGCCACCAGCACCCCACCCACCCATAGCCACTGCCAAAGTGCCTCGGTCGGCCCCCTCTGCGAGTTGTGCCGCCCGCCTCCAGCACAGAGCGACATCCCCTGCCCCTGCCTCAAACCGCCTGCACCCGCGCCACCTCCGCCGTACCTCCTCCAACTCCGCCACTCCCTCGCGCCACCTCCCCATACTGCCTCCTCCGCCATTCAAGCAACGCCCTACCTCCTCCGCCCACCCACTACGGGTTACCGTTTTTTTCCGGACACTCGGTGCCAGGCCTACCACGCCGGCCTTCTTCTCTATCGTCGCCCCTCCTCCACTTCTCCTTTCGCCAACATCGTTCACAGTCCTCGCCTCCTCCTCCCAAAGTCGCCACGCCGCGTCCACTTCCCGTTCTTCGCCAACCGACCGCCATCCCTCCACCCCAACTAACTCCTCCTCTTCCCAACGACCGCAACCCCGCCCTCCTCAGAACAAATCGTCATCCACTTTCTCTACCTCCTCCTCCGCTCCCTACACCGCCACCCCCTTCATCGCTCCTCCTCCTCCAATCTGTCGCTGAACCACCCTTCACTAACCAACTTTCGCCACCACCGTCACCGCCGCCTCCGCCTCCGTCTCCGGCGCGGCGCGCGTCTCCTTCGGTCGGCAAGCGCTAAGAGGCGGTAGGCGCGTGGACCGGCCACGGCAGGTGCCTTCTGATCGCCGCGCGGGAAAGGCGGAAAGCCTCCCTCCCGTCCCTCCCCCACCCCTCCCCCTCCCCTCCTCCCGCGGCGCTGGGAATACGGAGCGCGCATCGGATGGAAGCTTCACGCGTCCGCTGCTCCAGGGCTATCGGGCATCGGCTGCCACCCGCCGGCGATCGGAGGCTTCGAGCGTGCGGTTAATGCCAGGAGTTGGTTTGCAAAATCACGTCGCCCCCGGTTCTTTTCCGGATCCGTATCATTTTTTTTTTACTGAAAAAGTAGTGGACAAAATTAATTGCATCAATGTTATTGTATGTAATGAATGATAAAAGTTCAATAATGCTTCAACATTTTCATTTTATTATATTTACACATTTGATATTGTTTTTCTTGTTCTATTCTTTAACATAAGCAACAATTGAAGAGAGGAATTAGAAGATCTTTTTTAGTCATATTTATAGTAATATTACTGTTAGGAATGATCGTTACAATTCTTTGGTGTCATTTATAATCGCGGCTGTCTGATTTTCATCGCGAACATTTAAGTGATAGTTACGAAGGGATTCGTGTTATTTAATACAAATTATGTGATGTAATGCATCATTAACGAGTTTCACAAAATTCTCTGTAATTATTTCAAAGCTTGTATTTACGCTTCAAAAGATTACATGCAGAGATCAAGTTATTATTATGAAGATCGATTTTTAGTAAATTACAATGAACTGGAGTCGTTCTATATTTTGATACATAAATTCTAATCAGTTCAAAATACGAAGGTGCAAAGTTGCTTATTAATGACTATGAAAAATATTCCTTTTTCAGCTTGCTTTCCCAGGGGGAGATGCATATTACTTTAGTACGCACTACAGGAGCTCGAGACCCTTTTATAATACTCGTAAAAGGTCTCATCGGTAGTTGATCTATAAAACTAACGGCACTGACCTTTCAGAAATAATATCCTATAAAATTTTATCGCACACTTATGCTGGTCAAATATCGAATATTAATACTTTCTCTGTTTAAAACATTATTTCGTAATACTGCACTTTTCTTTCAGAAAATACATTATACTAAAAACTTATGAAATATGGAAAAAACTGGAAAAGTGTGTCAATAAAAACAATAAGAAATTTAATATTTGACATGCTTTTGCTTTTCCTATTTCTTAACGTCTTAACCTTTTCCTAACGTATTACACAGAAGGACAACACAAAGGGAGATAATGCAGAGCATCTGTGACAATACCATCAAAGAGGGGTCCACAAACATAAAATTCATTTAACTCACACAAAAACAAAAAATAAATATTACCGACTAGATTCCACATTAGGATCTGTTAAATAGAAATTCAAACTTTTTTACGACTTTATATATTTCAAAGATCCGTTCGTAATAATAGTGATATTATTATTATTATTATTATTATTATTATTATTATTATTATTACAGCATCGGCCATTTATCACAAATCTAGATGTAATCTTCGGAGGCTCCGGAGAGATTGACGTGTGTAATTAATGGGATCGCTTGTTTACGGTTGTATCCGTCCATAAGACGGAGGTTGTTATTCCTTGATTTACGAAGAATGAGATGATAGGATAATTATAATGGGTGAAGGGACAATCACATATACGACCATGCCTTCGGAGGACTCGAACCTGCAGCCTCCACGGCGCAGACGACGGCAGCCGTAACCGGGGCCGGCTCTTATTATTATTATTATTATTATTATTATTATTATTATTATTATTATTATTATTATTATTATCAAAGAACGATGTGGCAACATACGTCGTCTACCCGAATTCTAGACGTATCACACGTCACTGCGTGTAGTATTCCTGTACAACAGCGTCAGTCGCTTAGCCAGCGCTGCGCGGCTCGTAGGAGTGTATTGCGTGATAAACTGCGCCTACGACCCATCAAAGGCCGCTGCGCGAGGGCTGCGGCGGCGCGCGCCCGTACGTTTCGGCATTCCGCTGGCGCTGGCATCGATCCCGGGTCCTCTGCCGCAGGACGAGCACATCAAGGTGATCATCTCGCTGCTGGAGAAGCACGGCCGCGACCCCAAGGTGCTGGACGTGCTGTGCTCGCTGTGCGTGGGCAACGGCGTCGCCGTGCGCTCCTCGCAGAACAACATCTGCGACTTCCTGCTCCCGGGCAAGAACCTGCTGCTGCAGACGCAGCTCGTGGACCACGTGGCCAGGTGAGCCATCACCATCCTTTTCTTTTCTTATTCAAGGGCGCATCAACATCTGGGTCATTATTGACCACTATTGCATTTAACGGTATGGTGACTGTAAAGACGACACGATATAGTGATGGCAGGGGGGTGTAAGGACGAACACAATACAACATTGCCCGTCGATCCTTCCGTCTGAGATTGCTGCGGCACTACTGTCTTCGATCTCGATCATTCGGAAGACACAGATGTACCTTTTTTTGTTACTTATGATCACATCAACATCCAGGTCTCTAGAAACCACTGTTTGTTTGAACGGTATAGTAAATGTGAAAGATGACATGGTATGGTCATGGTAGGGGTAAAAGGACGAATATAACCATGCCCGAGGCGGGATTCAAACCCGCGATCCTTCAGTTCGAGATCGCTTCGACACTACTGCCTTAGCAATCTCGGCCATCTGGATGGGTATCATCATCGTTGTTATCTAGTCATTTAAAAAGACTAGGGGTTTTCGTTTAATAAGAAGCCTTATAAAGAAGGAAATTTCACGATTTTTGTATTGAAATAAATTATTGTTGGTTGCGTTATCACTTCCTCTTATTAGCCCATTTTATAGAATACACACGCCTGGAGAGACGGCTCAGGGCATCAAGTGATGTCATTGCAGTCCCTCCGACTGGGAGAAGCTAGGTTCGAGTCTCGATGGGAGCAGGCATTTTCATACTAGCTTGTCAGCTCGGTCAAATTCAGTCGCCGACTGGAGGAGAATTATCATCACCATAGAAAGGAAAGAAATACAAAAAAATTAATTGGAATATATAAACGAGAATAAGATATAAACTTAACACATTATCTATGGCGTAACACGCGTTATGTCCGCAGCCCGTTCACTCATGCCGTGCGATCCATGTGGAAAATGTAGAGAAAAAACCGGGTTCCAGGCAGGGCTTCTCTATGTGCTTCTGTTTCCCTTGTCTTTCATGCCACTATCCATCACTCTTCATTTCGTCGCCGCCCGCCCATTTGGTCATCTCATCCACGCCAGAGAGTGCCGTAAGTTATTCGTACAGTACACAGAATACACGAGTTTTGTGGCATTTTGATTTGAATTCATTGAGTGTGTGATGACGCCGATGTATGTTCTAGACATCATCGTTATGATCAGTACGCTTCTCTTGAAACGTCTTCGGAATTCTCCATCGTTTTCTGTCCAATGGTGGAAATACCTTGACAGGAAAACACATGCAAGTTGATTGTGTAGGTCGGCGACGGATCTCGCGTTCCAGCTTGGGAGGAACACCTCCACATCTTGAGATATAACTTACACTACATTTACAGTGATAACCTAAGTAATAGACGCATCTGAAAACAAATAATCCAATTTGAAAACATAAGGGTATCTTCTTCAATTAGTTAAATGTGAAAGAAGTAGGAAACTGGAAGAATTGAATTTCAAACTTTCCAAGAGATATAAAAGTATTCTTCTAAAGTTCGGAGATGTGGGGTAGCAGATCTACAGCTAACCGAAAGCGACAAAATTAGTTCATGAAATAAAAACGAAAGGGTGGAAGTTTCTTTGGACCACCGGTGGACAACACGTTAGCCTTAGATGTGTGCTAGGGAATATGTGAGGGCTGTCATTTCCAGTCGTGGAAAGCCGCGCATCTGACGCTCCACTCCAGGGAATATCGCTTTCTTTCCTTTTCCCTGCAGTTTGCAGGCAAGCGGAATGGATTTCTTTCCGGTTCCCTTCTCCGCGTCTGGAGAATCGCCAACTTTCTATAGCGGTTTCTCTGCCCGTTTTCAGTCGACTGCACTTCCCCCGGGAAAGAATGAAGAAATCCCGTTTCCCGAGTTCAACGCCCGGTCGGCGAAAGCAAAAAACAAAAGAACACTGTGTGACGAATATCTCTTAGAGAGTATTGAATGAAATTCCTGCCCAGAGAATTACCCAAGGCGCGACACAGCTCTTTATCATCTCCTTTAACTCGCTGAAATTAGTTGCCATTGAAACTTTCCTCTTGGGTCACTTCTCATTCTCTGCTCTCTACTGATCTTCGATAGATTTATTTACAGGTACTGGTATATGTGGCGCTTTCTAACATCTTGTGTTCTGTATATTTTCAAAATTAGTCAATTAGATTATCAATTTTTAAATATCATTGTTGAATATTTTAATGATTTCGTATATTATAAAGGTTTTAAACGTAACCAAATGGTTGTTAACGTAATACATTTTCTTTGTCTTAGTGAATATTGATAAACCATTTTTACTTTATCATACAGCAGCAATTCTAATCCTAATTCTTGTTGTCAGGATTGTTACACGAGTATTCGATAAATTTCTAGAGACCAATTTTTTCTGGGAATGTTCTTTTTTTCGATTTTCCATTCCGCTGACTGATTTATTTCGATATTTTTCAACACTCATTTATTGCGTAAGTATTTTTTATCTTAGACGAAACACCGGAGAATAGTAAAGAACACAATCGAAATTGGTCTTTGATATTAGAATTGGCGTGCATTTCTAGAGGTCTTCGAGGTTGTTATGTCTTGTTCTCTAGTTAGAAGATAATCTTGTTTGTTTATCATTTTCCATTATTATTATTATTATTATTATTATTATTATTATTATTATTATTATTATTATTATTATTATTATTATTATTCATAATTTTTCATCGCATTGAACTTTTTCATTTCTACTTTTTACTTTTTAACTTTACTTACCAATAGCTCTTTTGTCTTATTATTTTATCCTCCTCCTCCTCCTTCTCATCATCTTCCTTCTCCTTCTTCTTCTTCTTCTTCTTCTTCTTCTTCTTCTTCTTCTTCTTCTTCTTCTTCTTCTTCTTCATGTCCTCTTCTTCCTCCTTGGCTCCCCGCCAATACGAATGTCACAACGCCCCGGATAGCCGAGTCTCGTTGCAAATCGTCAAGCGGGTTGCCTAATAAAAAGTTGTCAGGCGCCGGCGATTCGCGGTGCTTCATTACTGTGGTTTATCCTGACCGCGATGGTGAGGTGGTGATGGACGGCGTGGTGTTGCAGTGTGCGGCCCAACATCTTCGTGGGGCGAGTGGAGGGCTCGGCGGTGTACCAGAAGTGGTACTTCGAGGTGACGCTCGACCACATCGAGCAGACAACGCACATGGTGCCTCACCTGCGCATCGGCTGGGCCAACACCACTGGGTGAGTGGCGCTGCCACACGCAACGCCTCCAGTGCTTTGGTAATTGGCGATAAATCCCCGACTCCCCGAGGGGATTTTTCTGCGAAATTTCAAAGCACGGGTGGTATCTATTTAATAGGACTATTCCACGAATGAAATTATGTCCACCAGAGTTCCAAAATGCACTAAAAATTGACAATAACTGAAAGCTATGTTAAAATTAATGAGGTTTTGTTATAGTACACACGCTGTTTATTGGACGTCGACATAGTGATCGATGTATACCGCCTCCTAAGATAGATGAGTCACAGTTTATTATGGCCAAAAGGGAGAATTGGTAAGAAAAATCGGATAGAAAAAGCGATATACTTTTTGAAATACACCGCCCTGATTGGTGCATTTTGTATGTATAGTTACATACTATTAGTTTTAATTTCACGAATAGAATAGTCAACATCACGTGAAGGCTAATATTTCGTTGAATCAAGCAACGCGTTTGTGAAAAGAGTTATTCAAGTGTGTTCAAACTGTTTTCATAATTGATGTGTTAATAAATCCTCTTTGATTTTTAAGTCAGAAGCATGATTCACTAAAATATATTTCAGTTTGAGTATAATTTAATTTTTATTATGTTTTAGCGTGATTTCTCCAAACATGTTTCATCGAAATCAGTTCATGAATTATTACAGGAGATATTGATACTGATGATATTATTACAGGAGAATGCAATACCAGGGATAAATTATTATATGTGTTTGCTAATGGTAGTACTTCTAAAATGCAGTACTTGATTTGACTTAGAATTAGAATATTCGGGGTGTATTGCGTGAAATATCGCCTTCGTTTATATATTTGTAAACGAGTATTAATTTCTCTACTGCTTAAAATAATACAAATTTAGAAAAACTTCATTAAAACATCAAATTGTGGATGCTACTTAAGTTAACATTCATAATATTTTACAAATCTTTAATGGTGAACACTCAGGTTGGTCTGGGATAATGCTAGTCATACGGGTGAAGCAGCCACCTCTGTCACTCTCAATATCGATTTCGTTCGAGTGCATGACCGACCAAGATTTTAAGAGAGCTGCTATCGGATGGGCAGTCACGCGATTTGCGGGGTCGAGCAGCGTCGAACGAGGCCGGTAAATAACGGGCGGGGCCGGCAAAGATCAGGCAGAATCCAGAGCTATCTCGCGAGTTCTGGCAGGTTTGGGCAGGCGGGAGATGCGTCAGAACTCGACAGCCTGACTAGAGTGCCGAGTAACAAAAATGTCTCGTGTTCCCGCACTGAGGAAGAAAGTGTAGCGTTGTAAACCCTGTGAGAAGTTTTTTTTTCTCCCCCTGCAGGTACGTGCCTTACCCCGGAGGCGGCGAGAAGTGGGGCGGCAACGGCGTCGGCGACGACCTCTACTCCTTCGGCTTCGACGGCGCCTGCCTGTGGACAGGTAGGGCACGGCGCGCCCCCCCCCCACTCTCCCCCCATCGCACGGATGATGTTTCTCAGGTCACGGGGTAAAAGCTCTCAAGTCAATGTTTGACTCTTAAGTTAATGTTTGGCGATATTGGGTTAAGTACGGATACTACAAAAATAAGTCCCTATATTTTATTTTAGTAAAACTATCAAATTTAAATTTTACGTCTTTAATGAAAAACTTAGCGTTGGAAATATAGACGACTCAATACAACAACCCTTGTTTTCTCTAAACTAAGATTTTCGACTTAAAACTTTTACCCCGTGACCACAGATTTCTGTCTACTTGTACAGCACGCGCCTGACAGGAGAGAGAACGTCAGAGGTTTCTAATTGTGATGGTGTCACTGCAGATGATGCTCACTAAGAAAAAATGAAATCTTACGTCTGAAGCAACTGAAAATTGAAGAGCGCCATTACTTCTTTGGTAATGCGTTGTGTGTGCGGTTCTGTGTCGTCTACTGTTGTGTACTCTCATTGCGACTTGTTTCGTGCTACTGCTGCTGTTGTCATCAGATGCTACGACATCAGGCATCAGACAAAACAACAAGGGTGCAAGCCCCCTCCATGAAAAACATGACTACACAATACGTGTCCGGAGACTTTTGAATACATAGTGTATGTTATGATCAATCGTATTCATATAATATTTCTTCAGATACAACAGCCAGACTCAATCGCCCATGCCTGTAAGTACAATTTATCCGAGGTCGCTTGCAACACGTCACATTGGACACTATTCTATTTGATGAGGAAAGAGCCTTTTTCCGCTACAAAAAGTTTCAGCAAACTTTCTGCAGTATTGTGTTGAGGTAAGGTAATGGACTTTCTCATCTCCCTAGTCTATATAACTGACTATTATCATCCAATTCAGTTTGTTAATTTATTTTACTTACTTTCGCATTAATAAGTGTCAAGCACATCGAGTAATTATTTTTGCTAAATATTCAATAATTGTTATTAATGAAACAGACGCTAGATTTTTCTAAAATTAAAGTGTGAAATCATTTTCTCGAGTTCTTAATCTAAAATTATTCTAAAACGTCACAATCGTATGTGGAAAAATATCCGTTTCTATAAATAGCTTATTAAGTGAATCACATGCATGCATGAACACATGAGCGCATGTGCGTGCGCGTGAGCACATGCGAGCAAGAGCGCGTCCGTATGTGAGCACGTGCGTGCGTGAGCGAGTGCGTGCATGAGCGCTTGAGCACATGCGAGCGTGAGCACATGCGAGCGTGAGCGCATGCGTGCGTGAGCACAACCGTGCGTGAGTGCGAGCGTAAGCACATGAGTGCGTGAGCGCATGCACGTTTGGGCAGATGCGTGCTTGAGCGCATGCGTGTGTAAGCGAGTGCGTGCGTAAGCACATGGGTGCGTGAGCGCATGAACGATTGAGGAAATGCGTGCGTGAGCCCATGAGTACGTGAGCACATTGCACGTTTGAACAGATGCGTGAGTGAGGCATGCGTGCGTGAGTGCGTACGTGTGCCAGCATGTACCTATGCAAGCGCGTGCGTGAGCGCGTGCGTGAGCCAGCGCGTACTTGTGCGCAGGCGGGCGCCGCACGCAGGTGGTGGCCGACGCCAAGGAGCCGTTCATCCGCAAGGGCGACGTGGTGGGCTGCGCGCTCGACCTCACCGTGCCCATCATCACCTTCTCCTTCAACGGGCGCCCCGTCAAGGGCTCCTTCGTCAACTTCAACCTCGACGGCATGTTCTTCCCCGTCATCAGCGCCTCCTCCAAGCTCAGGTCAGCACAGTCTTCTATCATGTACACACACAAACATTCGAGCACAAACGACTTGATAACAATCAGACAAAGAGTATGAATAAAATGTTTGAGAAAAATGGTTTATTAAGTTAAGGTTTTATTAGATTTTGTACCATTATAATTTTTAATATAAATAAATATTATTAGATGTTTTGAACTTTCATAAAAGAAAACAATTAACTTCATTTATAGTTTTTTTTGTAATCAATAGGTTCTTGATTATACAGATCAGTTATCGGAACGTATTCGTCTATCGACACTCAATCGATGACCCTCTCGACACTTGATCATCATTGACCCTCTTTAAAATTCTATCGCCCCTCCCCTAGGGGTCGATACCCACCCCGTAGGGAAACATTGTCATAAACGCACCATTGTCAACATCATAGTCTTTCTACGTCAACTTAATCTTTCGGCTGTCAGTCCAATTTTTAATTCTTTTAATGAGCGTCAGAAGACTGCGAGCTTCGTAACTACACCGTCCTATTTTCGTTCAATTCCTTCAATTTTAATTGAGTAATTCAAAGAAATAATTAAAGTAATTGCGACAAAGAATAGGCTTTATTGCTCAAGCGTTTCCAAAAATAAAGTCATTTTTACTAAAATTTCGTTTGCCACTAAATATAACTTTAGCCAGTTTACTTTTAAAAAAGTAATCTTGAAAAAAGTTGAGATTCACAGAACCGATACCTATTACGTGAAACCTTACGCAATGTGATTCGCTATGAATACGGTACTGAATAATATTTTATAAAACATGAAAGTATAGTAGTTAACATTCGAATTAAAACTACGGTAGCGTGATATGTCTTATCTCACTACCTTCGCTCTAAAACATTTTTATCATTGATTACTTTTTGGTCAGCGAAACAATAAATAATAAATAAAACACATAGTATAATAGTAGAACATAATAGAATTTATAAGATGCTGTTTATCGATCGGTGGAAGGGACTTTATGAGCGAATTCTCTGCGGATACTAACGAAATAAAGAATGCATTATACAAAGGTCTTTCTGCGTCGTTTGGGCCCTTTGGGACGAAGGCAGGCAGGGGGGGGGAGAGACGTCTCGATGCGGCGCGTATTGTATGCATCTCACGTCAACCTCAATCATTACGAATGCGGTCTCTTCAATTTATTCATGGAAACCTTCTATATTCCGATTCGATATTTTGAATATCAAAGGATTTGAATAACTGAGAAATGTTTCCTCATTTTATCAGAATGTTTATTTCATCGCTTTTGGCAACACGTATACGAATTTGTCAATAACGCGCCTTTCTCTAGTTCTTGTAGCTATGAAACAAATCCTGAAAGTGCTCTTTGGTGATTGGCAAGAAAATTAAGAAAGAAAGCTTTCTATATTTATGTACTATTGCATTATTAATGCGTCTGAATGAAGAAGAAATGCAACAAATAGAAGAAAGCAGAATTCGTCTCTCAAATGAGAACAATGAACCTTATAATCGTTGACTTAACAATGTTTAAACATTCCTATTTAAGGGTTTAATTGATAATTTTAGTCAATCCAATAAGTTACTTTGGGACCTTGGAATCCTAGTATGGCACACACTTTCTGTAATGACCGCGAAGGCGAGCATAAGGCGACGCTTTAGGCTACGGTCACGGTGCGGCCGAAAAATCGGTCGCTCGATACCGAACAACTGCAGGGAAATCGTCGAAGGCGATTCCAAGAAGGGTAGTATTTGGCAGCATATGTAGCCTATGTGTGACCACTTTCCACATTTTGAATCTCATAAAGAGATACCAAACCTATCTGATCATACTTTACGGGCAATCATGAATTATCATAGGCCTTGGCAAATATAATGAAAAGGGCTTAACTTTTTTATACAACGCCGTAAATGATTATGAACAAATAATGTTTGTTGATATTAGAAATGTACTATCATGTACGCTCGTCAGAGCAGAAAGTAATTATGATTGTTTAAAAATAAGATTTTTTTAGTTTTGATAGAACAGTCTTATTAAATTCAACATAGTTAATGAAAAATAATATATTGCTACCATTATCAAACAAAAACAATTCAATATTTCAATTTTCTTGTTAGCACCACACTCAATTTCTGATTACTTCGTAGCAAAGCAAAATCATTTGCCCTACAAGCAAATATATAACTTGGTGTTCAAATCAAAATGTATGCCTAATCCGTTTTAGGTTGGTATTTCACATTATTTCATCAATCGACAACAAACATTTCTAATACAATGCAAAAGGCAACATTACTTGAACTGTATGTAACAGTCCTTCCCGTTCTCGCCGATTGCTCTTTCAGTTTGCATTTGAATTACGCATTGTCAGTGGTGGTCCCCACTCCTAGCCTGAGTCTCACCTTCGCCCTTTCTCACCGCCTGTATGTGCAGTCGAATGGCTCGCGCGCGGAACGCGAGGTCACTGAAAGTGCAAAATGTTGTGCGGGCCAATTCTAAACGGACGGCGAACTGTGAAATCGTTAACAGACGCCCGCTGTTAAGAGTGTCTTTTCGTCGCTTTATGATGTAATCCAAGGATGTACTTAGGGAACGAATTTATCTGTTGCGCGCAGCTGCCGCTTCCTGCTGGGCGGGGACCACGGCCGCCTGCGCTACGCGCCGCCCGAGGAGTTCTCGGCGCTGGTGGAGTCGCTGCTGCCGCAGCAGACGCTCAGCATCGACCCGTGCTTCTACTTCGGCAACCTGCCCAAGTGCGTGCTGTCGGGGCCCTGGCTGGTGGAGGACGACACGGCCTTCGTGCCACAGCCCGTCGACACCTCCATGGTGAGCACGCACGCACGCTCGCACGCACAAGCACAGTACTTGATGCCGGCCAACAAAGGGCTCGGGGGATTTCCAACTCGAATTACTCAGAATTCAAACTTCATTTAAACACAAATATTTTGGGTTAATTGTTGAATATGAAAAGATGCGAATTTTAATGAATACGAATCGTTAAAAGGGTGGTATCTGATCGTAATTGGGTAAATATCGATTTTACCAACATTTTGAATGTTCAAGATAAATGTTAGTAAACATTATACCAACTTCAATGGTATAGTTGGTGCACAACAAGGCATCCAGGCGAATGCTGGGATGGTTCTACTCAACGCGATACCGATGTCGCTAGCTGAATTCGTTAACTACGTGAAGGCACGAAGGTGTTGGGTGAGTGACTGACTAGGAATCCCCGGGATCTAACGGCGCCGAGGCCAATTGCCCTTTGCGAGACTTCTCATGGCTCAGTACAAATACCTCAAACGCCGCCAGCCTGGAATTTTCGTAACACAATAGCAGCCTAATCTCAACGAGCCGCATCATTTGGCAGCGTGGGAAGGACTGGCCGAGCATAGCTTAGGGTTGCGTGGTTTGAGGAGACACTCACACTAATGGTATGGTGCAAGCCACCATATTAGCTTTTCTCCGTGGGTTCGCAAATAATACTACAATTCCTTTCCTTTCTTTCTTTTTATTTTTCTACGTCGTTTATTCGCTCCAGGGTGTGGGGACGCAATCTCGCTCTAATGAAAGACAGTTTCTGTCGAAGTAATTTCAAACTTCAATAACTCGGCTAAGGAATCATGTGGTAGCGCAATCTTAGTCTCCTTTTAAAGGGAAAGGATGGCAGCGCGGGCAAGAAACTCACCGGCAGCTTTGGTGCACGGGAAGAGAGATACTCGACTTTCTTTTATTCGACGCGTTCCTATAACCGGAATCCGATTTATGGGATTAATCATCCGGGCGAGTGCATTTCTTATATCGCATGTTGAGTTTTACGTATGTATGTGGAAATCTCTTAAAGATACAAGTCCGAGAATTTGAAAAAGCAGCAACATTTTTTATAATTTTTTCGTATTTCGCGACATATTTTATAAGTCGCGACATATAAAGAGTCAATGTAATGATAACTAAGATAGTAGAGGAGAAACGTGTTAGTGCACAAACGTTTAGGGACAATGAACTCCCACAAACTGCGAATATAAGGTTGCTTAAGTGTGCTTGGACAACGCAAGCAAACATCTCAAGAGACTGAGTCACGCGTGGTTATGGATGCCATTGCTCATTCAAAGTAAAAAGATTTAATTCACAGTTAAGATTTTTTACGAAAACGACTGCTTCAGTGTCTGTCTTTCCATTTATCGATCCCTTGTGTAAATCTCTTGAGCAATACGACTGTTTTATAACGCCATCACCTCCGAAAGTGTGCTACCGCTGTATAGGGAATTATCTCTCAAGGGTGATCACGATTTAAGACCAAAAATTTAAAATTTAGTGAAGTGTGCTGTCAATAAATTAAGAGATGCATCATTGTTCCTGCAACACCAATTTCTTATAACTCTTGTCGCATCGTGATAGATCGTGAAATCCGGCTTTCAGATCGTCAAGAATGTCACGAGTTCCATTTCTTAGGCCGTTATCTATAAGATGAGAAATTCGTCCTTTGTATATGATACTTTTATATTCTATGCAATTTAATTGAATTGGCTCAAGACTTTATGTTTGTGAATAATCGGCAAGTAACGTTTGAATGTTTACCCGGACAGAACCGGACGTACACGACACAAAACCAGGACTGCGTTTAGAGCCTCGCCATTCAACATTGGATTTCAGTATGAAGCTATTTTTCACTTTCAAAACAATATAAATACACAAAAACAATTTCAAATAATAATCTGAAGCGTTGGGCTGAATAACGGTCAATGTTACGATTTTTTAATTTTACAGAACAAGCAAATCGCTTTATGTTTCTGCATGACCATGAATTTTAGTAGCAAATTGGTAACAGACCGTTATCGAATGAATATGTTTTGCTTGGTATCATACCATTGGCGTGCGCAGCCTAAAACAAGAGAAGACTAACTACATCTCTAGACCCCTTTGAGCCCCTTTTTGTTTTAAACGTTTTTATTGACATATTTATACTACGATAATGGCATTATAACTTTCATCATACAATTAACACATACAATTGTTTTATGTTTATCCACCTAAGGTGTTGCCAGATTATTTGGAGAGCCTCTTCCCCAAACGTGGTGTGCAAAAGTGCTTAATTATCAGCTTTAAAAAGGGGAAATAAGGAATGGATCATACGAATAGAATATGCTATATTACTTATAGATTCGGGGCCTAGTTTGAAAATTTGAGACGGTCAACAGACTCGCTACCCTCATGTGTGTACGCTTATGGTACGTACACACACATACGGTACACACGAGCTACGCATGACTAAATAATATATTCCACGGAAAAAAAACATTTTAGCAAATATTCTAGCATAGATCGTTATTCGGCGCAAAGGTCATTTTTAAAGTGCAGAATTTCACACTTTAAGGGATTGAACAAGATTTTTGTATGTATGTATTTTTTGGCACTGAAGTAAATGGCTCAGGATGTAGCGCACTGATTTCGCATGCGAGAGGCCCGGGTACAATCCTTTTATCGTCTATCCTGACCGGGATTTTCGTGGTTTCCCTCGGCCATCCAGGCGAATGCCGGGATGGTTCTACGTGAAGGCCACGACCACAAAACCGGCGTCGCTGGACGACTCGTTGACTACGTGAAGTCACGAAGGTTAAATGAATTCGAGACGTCGCGGGTACCTGGTTGGGTGACTGACAAGGAGCATCGGGATCTAAGCCTAGCCAATTACTGAGCAATACAAACTGAGACGATTATTACGGAAAGCTACAACTCAATTTTTGCTCCGTTCGGAAATTGAACCTGGTACCGCATCCACCGAATGCTACCTCGCAGACCAGGAGTCACCCAAGGGGCGGATTTAAAATAAAATATTTCTGTATACTTGAATGTTTTGTGAATTGCTAATGTGTGTATCTTGCTTTCTGTGTTGTGCGAAGGTGACGCTGCCCAGCTACGTGGAGAGCGTGCGCGACCGCCTCGCGGAGAACATCCACGAGATGTGGGCCATGAACAAGATCGAGGCCGGCTGGATGTTCGGCGAGCGGCGCGACGACGTGCGGCGCGTGCACCCGTGCCTCGTGCCCTTCGAGCGCCTGCCGCCCGCCGAGAAGCGCTACGACTCGCAGCTGGCCGTGCAGACGCTCAAGTCAGTGCTCCCGCCCGCACCCGCACCCACACCCACACCCACACCCACACCCGCGCGCTCGCACGCGCTCGCACGCACGCGCACGCACACGCGCGCGCGCATGCACACGCATGCACACGCACACGCACGCACACTCACGCACACCCGTGCCTCGTGCCCTTCGAGCGCCTGCCGCCCGCCGAGAAGCGCTACGACTCGCAGCTGGCCGTGCAGACGCTCAAGTCAGTGCTCCCGCCCGCACCCACACCCACACCCACACGCACGCGCACACACGCAACTGCACGCGCTCGCACATAATAGGGTTGGTCATATCACGGCATCGATGCATGTCACTGCAGTGCCTCTGACCGCGTGCAATCCAGACGGAGACACGATTTTCGACACTAGCCACTCAACTGGGTCGAATTCAGTCTCTGTCTGGAGAAGAATTCTAGCTGACGGCTGCCCTGATCGGTAGATTTCCGTTGTTTCTCCGATCAACACTAGGCGAATGCCGGAGCAGTCCCTTAACAAAAGAACCACGGACCATGCGCGATCTTTCCTTCCTCTAACTTGTCCCATCCTATCCCCTTACATACACGTACTCACACGCACTACATTACCTCTCATTTGGGAAGGCCAGACGGGTGGTTAGAGCCTCTTCTGGGGCGGTGCTCGCAGCGAGATACCTGGAGGAAATTTCCCGCAAAGTGGCGTGTAGGTCGGCGTCTAATCTCATCATCCATTCACCTCCATGGATTCAAAAAACACTACACAAACGGAACTAATGACCGCAGCAGTTGACGTGCCCGCAAACATCAATCAATCAAAAAGATACTACTGCAATGTTTCTGGTACTTTGTTTATTCTTTTATCATGCGTAAGGAATCAGAAAGGGGAGTGTCAAAATGAAACGAATCCACTTTACATGAATTTCAACTCTCGTAAATCATGCACAGCCCCCTGCCTTCTAATAATCGGCCAAACATCTTTGATCAACCTTCCGCCTACTGCCAGTCTATGGTCATAGACGTCCCCGATGCAAGTGTGTTATGAAGGTCGAACCGGGCATTCTGTATTGGAAGCTCGGACATTTGGGGCCAAGACATAGTTCTTTCTGCCAAGAACACGGTGTCTCCCTTTCAACCTCCTTTCTAACAGCTCTAATCTCGTTCAGTCGACGCCTTCTGCAGTTAGAGATCCTTGTCAACCATTGACGTCTTCTGTACACCCTCTCTATTGGGAAGCTAACGTCCCTTTCCCTTTGTGGTGCATATGTTAGTGATATTAAAACCGGATTCGATAATTCGAGGGCAACACCGTTGGCTACAGTATTCGTATCATCGGCCGGGAGGTGCTTGGTTTGTGTCTCGGCAGCCCCAAAAATACTACACAAAATTTCGTAATCTTGTATTGAAGTGCAATCATTCCAGAGTCAAACTTGTGTTTCTGTCTTTCAAATCGAACCTTATTCCGTGTCATACAAGTGGCTAATTCACTGTAATTGCCTCTAAACAATTTTCGTTTCAGAAATAAAGCTCACAACAGATCCACGAAAAGGGATTATTTTGGTTCTTATGTTGTTTGTATATTTGACTTGCTTGTCAGTGTTTACATCGATCGAATAAATCTTTGAACTAAATCGATTTGATAATCAAAATTAAGTAAAGTAAAATTAAGTATTTAACATTAGTATTAAGACTTTACGAAATATTTTATTTCTAGATTGTGAATAAATAATATGAAAAATATTAAGAAGTATTTTGCAACTGTATCTTTTTTATCACAGATAGAAAATGAAAATATACAGACGTGCTTAAGTTAGAATCAGAAATGAAATAGTATCTGGTGTCAGCCATACGCAATTAGCATCGTAATTTATTTGGAAAGGGAAAAGGTGGACAGACATTCATTTCATTTTTCCCTTTTTCTCTCGTCCAGTATTTTTCATGTCCCTCTCGTCGTATTCCTTTTTTATTACCGGGAGAAATTCCCGACTGGGGTTCGCGCTAGACAATTTAGGGTGATTTTTGTCAGTCCACCCAGAGCGAGTGCACTCCTCTTCAGAGAACGTTTATTTTTGCCTTTTTTATCGCATGAAAGGGGTAGAATTTCCTGCCAGATATCTCACATTGCACATGACGGGGAAAGAGAGGGACCCAAAACTGTGCGTGCATAGCAATGTTGACGTGCCTGCGAAGAGCAAATACGCATAAAGAGAGAGTATGGGGAGACTGAGATAGCAACAAATATGGAAATAACGTCCACCAACGTTGGTAATGGAATGCAGCAGAAATTAAACTGGCTGAAGTACGAGTAGTAACTGTACGTATTCCTATAGACCACATACATTACTTGTAAAATAACAGCGATCTATTAAATGATAAAATTAATGAAGGTTTCGGTTTTTTAAAACGGTATGAGAAAAGATGATAATATATTTTAGCATTGATTTAAAATTCACGAACAACATACGAGTGGCTATACTTTTACGGTCAATAAGAAACTTGATATATCTTTTCTTTCCTATTACTGGTTATGATATCTCAAGTCATGAAATTGTTTGTTCCTTTAAAATGAAATATTATTTCCATAACATGACTGTGTATTTTTGTTGCGTTGTTTTGTTGTGTAACGAAATTTACAAATTATCTGCTGCAATAGTTCAGTGACAACGCACTTGTTTTTGCAGTCTCGTTGACTGGGGGAACCTAGGGTTAAAATCCCGACGGTGGCGTATTTTCAACACTAGCTGCATACACTCGTCAAATTCAACCATTGCCTGGAGGAGAATGCTATCTGCTCTGATTGGCAGTGTTCTGTAATTTCTGCGATCGATACAAAGCGATTGCCGGAGAATTGCCTTATCAAACTGGTCACGGTCTGCCCGCAATATTTTCTTCCTCATCCTTGTCCCCGGCCCTTCACTCACACACACACACACACACACACACACACACACACAATTGCACTTATAAATAAACTTAATACCCCAAATGTCGGGAGGCCGCAGGGAAGCGTGTTTGTGGGCACCTCTCCACGTTGCTCCGACTGGAGAGGTGCCCCGTTGGGGGAGATACTTGGAGGAAGAAAAGGCCACGTCGGCGCCGGATCTCACTTCCCAGCTGGTGCATAACACCGCCACCACCACCACCACCACCACCACACCACCACCACCACCACCCTATGACATGCACTACACTTACGGCAATAATCTAGTTAGTTGACGCACGCGTAATCTGTATTCATTCACTCACTTCGAGTTATGGGTTAGGGGGTATGGGTTTGAGACAGCGTTACGCTGCGTTACATGGGGGTAGGGGGTGATAGAGTATTACGTAACGCTGATAACAATTTTTAAAATATTTGAAAGACTTCATTTTATTCACTCTTGTTCTAAAACATTACCATAATAACAAATTCAATTAAAAATATGAATTAAAGAATTAATATTCTAATAAAAGAAAATATTTTCCATCACTGACGCATTCATTGATTCTATTTGATTACGAAGAAAATATTCAAAACTGATCTGTTATCTATTGTTTCCTAGAATCCAATTGAATTGGCGTAGTAGACTCGGAGCCCAATGATGCGTCATCCACAACGGCGTATGCACGGCTACTTAGAAATTCTCACGCCTACGCGTGTTCCTTTAATTTAAACAAATTGTCGCCAATCTTATTGTTATGTGTGGTCCGCACCACCAACCAATTCTCGGGTTAAGTATCATAACTTTTAACATACAACACAAATACAATTAACCCAACTCGTTTCTGCTTTATAATTGATGTTTACTTATGGGGGGTATTTTCGCGAGCGTTGCGCAATTATTAGAGGAGGGTTCAAGTGCACATGACAGGAGGGGAGGGTGTATTCTAAATGTCCGTTACGTAATTTCTGGACGGCCGCTGATGAGCGGTTGCTGTGTGGGCGGCGCAATGCAATGCAATGCAAGACAATGCCATGCAAGGCAATGCAATGCAAGCCAATGCAATGTAAGACAATGCCATGCAAGGCAATGCAATGCAATGCAATGCAATGCGTGCGTGTGTGCGTCGCAGAACCATCCTGGCGCTGGGCTACCACATCAGCATGGACAAGCCGCCGGCGCGCATCCGCAACGTGCGCCTGCCCAACGAGCCCTTCCTGCAGCCCAACGGGTACAAGCCCGCGCCGCTCGACCTCAGCGCCGTCACGCTCACCGCCAAGATGGAGGAGCTGGTGGACCAGCTGGCGGAGAACACGCACAACCTCTGGGCCAAGGAGCGCATCCAGCAGGGCTGGACCTACGGCCTCAACGAGGTACGTGCGCCGAGCCGCCCTACACGCGTCCTACGGGCCCCGGAGGGGATACCTGGAGGCGGGGCCTACTAACCGACGTGTAGGTTGACACCAGATATCACATTTCAGGCAGGAAACAGCCACCGCCATTGATAAAACATACACAACACTTTCGGGATTAATGACCATAGCTCTTAACGTACCCGGAAGCAGTTGATCAATCAGCAAACCAGGTACATCGCTCAGGTGAAGGAAACAGAATTTGGGGGGGGGGAGGAGCGTTCTTCGAATCTTAATTAGAATAGTAATAGATCCTCCAATATCCTTAATTGGAGATCAGCATGTTGTCTTTACCGCACACGCATTTCTTAATGTAATACCACTTAAAATTCAAAAATTCGGAAATTGATTAGTCACTAATATAAGGAATATCTGACGTAGTATTTTCCCAAATAAAAATATAATATTTTGACTTTTATCTTCATCAATAACTCTTGAGTTAACCTGAAGAACACTTAAAAATAGCGCAGAATTAACACGAACTATTGACGCATTTTTATCAACAGAAATCGCACACGCAATAGCATCAGTTGATTTAGCCATCTTCCCCCTTCAACCAGCTGGCATCTACTCAATTGTGGCAGCTGTAAATATTAATTACAGCTATAATTTAATATACGACTTTCAGTCGTTCAGTAGGGATGGATATGTGGCGTCAATGTGGTACGTGGCCCGGCAGGGTTAGAGTCAGAATTTCGGGGGGAGGGGGGCAATTTCTGTTCGAATGTTCAACAGACATTTTTAATAAATGAAAAATATCAGAATTGTCAGGTTGAAAGTGTTATGAGAAAATTAGGAATATTCCTTAGATATGTGACTTGTGCAGTATGTGGAAATTATTTTGAATAAATTGAACACGGCTACAAATGAATATGCCAAATGTGTTGATTCCTCTTTCTGCCTTTCCTCAACCCTGCCACTGTCTCCTGCCCGCGCTCCCTTACGAGGGCTGTCGCTTGCCTACTTTCTCTCCCGCGTAATCTCTTAAATTCCATTTTTGGTGTCTTTCTCGATAGTTCTCTTTTACTCCCTTTTGCATCCATTTTCTTCTCTAATGTTGCGAATTTAGCAGACTTTTCTTTCTCTTTGTCCAAACTCCTTCAATTTTCTCTTGCTCTTCCGATCTTTTACATTTACCTCCAATTTATTTCTTGTTTTCTTCTTTTCCCTTTGATTCCTGATGCCATTTCTTTTTTGTGTCAAAATTGAATGTTACTTTTCCGGTATTAATATTTCCTTACTTAATCTTTCTCTTCCTCCTTCCTCTCTTTCGAAATCTCTCTACACCCTCCCTCTCTCTCATTATTATATCTTATTCCCTTATTCTAACTTCCGTTCCTTTTTTATTTTCTCTCTACGTCGCTCTCAACTTCGCTCATTCTTTCAGCAATTTTTATCCTTCCTTTCTTTCTCCTATTGATAATTTTTACTTCATTTTCATTCAATTCTTTCTCTATATTTTATTATTTTTATGAATGTTTATCTCTATCCCCCCTCTCTCTCCCTTCCCATTATGTTACTTGCCTCATTCTTCATCGCTTTGTCTGCTTTCTGTCGTCTTTTCTCTTTATCTTCCTTCCTCTAGTCCTCTTTAGAGCTTTGTTGAAGGAATAATACAGCCCAAAGTAGAAACTGCATATGAGTGCGAGTTTAGGTTTTGTGGGTCGCGGGCTTCGGTATGAGATATAGTTCATGTGATTGCGTCAGTTTCCAGTGAGGTAGCTGGGTCCGCCTTCAGCCGCATAACACGCAGCCAAGGATCAATGTAAATATATGTCAAACATGTAGGTCATAGAAAAGTTTAGAGATTATGAGATTATCAATTATATTACGCTCATAATGTATTTCATGACGTACTCGCTTAGACTTGCCAATAATAATTCGTCTCCATACACCCAGTTAGTGTTTTTGTCTTCAAGAATATTATTGTGTTAATTAAGAATAATTTTAAGTTCCACCAACATTCTCAATATTGTCGAAATGGAAATTGTAAGATTTATTTGTAAATTCCGTAGACACTGTGACGTATCTTGAATAACTCTTTTCTCAGAATAATAGTAGAAACTTTTTATGGGGTATCATAATGTGTCATATTTCATTAAAATATTGGGTAAATAATATATTGTTTACGGCTTTATTTAGCCTATGAATTGGTAAAACAGATTCCATGTTCTTCCCGTCCACACCGTCATTCTCTTGAACTCCCCCTAGTTGTGTTAAACCCATATCGTTTCAACACCCGCAAGGCTCTAACTAGTTATAGCCGGGGGACACGAGTAATAACCAGAGGCACGGCGGAGTTTGAATTGGTTCCACCCCCCTAAAGTTAGGTCCTTCCACGAGGGAGGGCCGCAAATTAAAGAGCAGCTGCCAGCGCGCTCTACCGGGGAGCACCTGCTCTCTAACTGCCCACATCTGCTCTCTAACGGAAAGCAGCTGTTCACCAACACCGCGAACACCTGCTCTCTGCGCTCGGGCATTGCTCTCTAATCCTGTGCGTCCGTGCGCAGGACCCCGACATGCGGCGCAGCCCGCACCTGGTGCCCTACCCGAAGGTGGACGACGCCATCAAGAAGGCCAACAGGTGAGCGCGGAGACCGGGGGGGCGGGGGGCAGGGTCACTGGGGCGCAAGGCGATCGATGGCGTGCCACCCCGCGCCGCCCCGGAAGTGGAGGAGGGGGGGCGCGGCCGATAGTGTAGAGCACTACTTTAACGAGGTCTTTTGCTTCGTGTGAATAGCAATAAACTCTCTGTCCGAGAAGACAGATTTTACTACTTCAACTGTTTCTTTGAACTTCTCGGGAAGCACTGGTGCGAAAGAGGTCATCGAGGAGGGGGTGTGGGGGGTTATGGAGGAGGTGGGGGTGGAAGATAGAGTTGAAAGGCGATTGACTGAGGCGGTGTTAAGGGCAGTTACAAATGGCAAAAAAGAAGGAAAAAGTTAAACAGTGCAGGGTAGTTCGTAAAGTTCGCAAGGTTAAAAAACATGCGTAACATGATGTCTGAAAATTTTGTAAAAAAAGAATTTCTCTGAGATACCATTTCTTTTTATTTCCATTCTTTATTTCTTTGATTTTTACGATCTTGTGATTAGATCAACTGAATAATGAAGACGTTCAGATTTAGAAGATCTTGTCTTTTTACTGCATTTCAGAGATACTGCCAGTGAAACTGTACGGACATTGCTTGTTTATGGTTACAACTTAGATCCACCAACCGGTGAGGCCAACGAAGGTAAGGGATCGTGATTTACGTATCTTGTAAAAATTTACAGGACGTAGAAAATTAATATACGCACATAACCCTATAATTTACTGTAAATGCAAAAGAAAAAGAATTCACCAGTAGCCCTTCTGTTATTTCTCTTTTCCTTGATCGAGACCTACACCTGACGAGACTTTGAAATTGTTATTTAAAAACATTATTTGTCCTGTTTATTTTACGATTATTTTTCATTATTCCAATAATAAAATATTTTTCATTATTCCAAAATTTATAATTTATAAATTGTACTTAGTATTACAGCATATTAAATTATTTAGTTGCTAATAGCCTTCAAGTTGAAGCGACTATAAAAATAATTTTAAAAATATGTGTACATACAAATCAGTGCACAACTTCAAGCATTGTTCTTCAAGTTTGCATGTCTTGAAAACAATCATTTAAAACCTACATTTCATTCGGTACATTTATCATTTTCTTATTTCCCAACACATCCGACGTTAAAGAGTACTTGAATTCAATGAGGAAAAAAAGCGAGGCAATGCAGCGTCGGGGTTTAGCAACTAGAAGCGTGTAGGGCCGAGAAGCGAATGAAAAACACCCTGGGAAAAATGATGAAAGGGGTTGGTTGCGCAAATGTAATCTAATCGAAACAGCACAGTCTGGCGCTTCGACTAACCATAACTCTTTTGTGGATTCCCGGTTCGTATTGTGCAAAGCGCATCGGTGCTCTTTTCTTTCCACCTCTGCCAACTGCTGCGAAGGACTGGCGAAAAATCAATGGCGTTTTTTTGTTGTATTCACCCGAGAAGCTTACGATCATATTAATATTTTTTTAGTTTATAATGAAGGTATTATAAATTACATTTTCTCTATCCTAGCATATTTATGAAATGTCCCCGGTTTTTAAAATTTTTTAGAGATTTTTATTTTGAGAAATGTATACAATGCACCTCACAATAGTTAACGTAGAACATTTGTTAAGCCTACGAAATTAAACATTAGTTCCTGAATTTTTTTGTAATATTCTAACTTTTTCGTTATAGACGTTGGCAAAAAAATTCGAATCTGCCCATCATGATCTAAAACGTAGTACATAGGTCCTTGACATGAATAAAGTTAATTAAAAATTGCTAATTGACTTCTTTACAATACTAAAATATAAGGAATGCGATTAAACGTTGGTAGGATGTTGTAGTCAATTTTTAATTATTATGTTACATTGCGATACCAATTTATGAAAGCTTTATATGTTATTATAAATACAAAAATAAACATAAAAACGAAAGTAAAACAGAATTCAAGTCACAATCAACTTAAAGTTAGGAAAGAACGCATCTAAATTATTTTTTTATTCTGTTCTTATCTGACCTCGCATGACTTCGATTAGTGCTCATGCATATTCCTGCCTTGTTCCTATTGTCGGTGCTCCCTGACTTTCTCTCTTAAGATTCTTTGTATAACATGAATCGTATTTTTATTTACTTTTTATCTAGATGTGCCAATTACAGTGTTTTACAGGTTAATTTTTTTGAAGATCAATGAAAAATATAGGTCTTGTGAGTTATTAATTTAATAGTATGTCTTACCCATTTGTCTTACTATCACTTTCTACAGAGACGTATGGAATTAACTGGTAAATTGTTACGTTGATAAAAGTTGTAAAATACCATTATTTATCTTGAAGAGAAATAATATATAATTGTATATCATTAGAAATTAATTCGTTTGAAAAATATAAATTGCTTTGATTTTTGAAACTTATAGTAAGTTTGAAGAAAAATAACAAGTGATTTTTATAAATGTGTTTCTTCCTACTATATGAAGCCAACTTCAATTGCCAAACGAAAATGAAAGTGAAAATTATTTTTATACTGTATTGCTCAGTAAATGGAAGATGTAGAAATTACAGAATATTTAATAAAATATTCCAATGCTACGAAAAATACAGAATTATGACACGTGATATATATATATATATATATATATATATATATATATATATATATATATAATATAACCAGGCAACCAGGCAGATATACGGATAGACAAATAGACAGACGGATACCTAGACGGAAGGATACTCAGACGGACGGATACACAGACAGACGTATATGCAGACCGGAGAACACCAACGCTAGCTAACGTGGTTAACGCCCTTCCGTAGCTCTGCTGGCGGAGGCGAGTCGCATCAGGCAGTCCATCTTCCGCACCTACCGCGTGGAGAAGACGTACGCGGTGAGCGCGGGCAAGTGGTGAGTAGCGCATCGAGCTGCCAACCAGATCTCTTCTGACCTTGCTCAGCCGATTTCAGACGTTAGAAGCCGCGCAGCTCTCCAGGGCACAATAGCTAAACACTGAATTTTTCACACAGCATTTCGCATAAGAAAATACAGTTTCGTATTCCGAATATTGCACAAAACAGATTTTACTCAATAACACGCAAAAATAATATTTTAAATATATTTTGAATTTTTTTTTATAGTTTATTTTGAAATTATTAATTAAATTAAAATGACTTAAATGTTTACATGGCTTTTTCGTGTCGTCAAAGTACTTTCTTTTCCAAAGAATGATTGTATGAATTCCGCATATCAGAATTTGTTTATACATTTCAAAAGAGCAATTTGCTAACTTTTCCTAAGAACTTTAAAATTATATATAT